TTTGGATGTAAAGGGACAAACGTGGGTCATCGTATAGTCATGATAGCAATGTTGTGAGATATCTTAGCATTTCTCTTGAGGGACTAAGATCATTTATAAGGCAACATTCGTAGCGTCATCGAGAGACTATGATCTTGTATTTTTTTATTTTTTTTTGCTAAGACATCCCACATGTATAACATGACCATTTTTTATAAGACAATAAGTGGAATTACCCTAAGAGTGCATGTGTGAATAGTGTGTTTGATTTGCATGCATTGTTTATCTTGAATTAGGGTTCTCTAAGCATTGATTTTATCTTTCCATACAAACCCTAATTTACTAGCATTGATATGAAGGTGATAAATTACGGAAAGTAAATTTACTACGCTATTACATTATTTGGGGATGGGGTATACAAATTTACAAATGGGGATTGCAAGAAATTAAACCTAATTATCTATTACAACCATATTGAAACTTAATAATGTACGAGAATTGAAAGGAATATAATGTGCAAGGATGTAAATGGAAAAGAAATGGATTTTTGTTTGATTTTTGAGGAAAGGAGGTTTTAACCTAATTATATAAAAGAAAATAATTAATTAAATTAAGAAAATTAAACCTAAATTAATTAAGAAAAGAAATTAAATTTAATCAAGTAAGCATTTTTAGATTTTTTTGGAAAAGGTGTTAAGTTTAATCAAAATAGTATGGAAATTAATTAATTAAAAGAAAACCTAAATTCTAAGTTAATTTTAATTAAAAAGAAAATAACTAAACCTAAATCTAATTATTAATTTATTTAAGAAAAGAATTAAATTTGTTTAAGAAAATATTTTTTTGTCTTTTTATTTTTTTAAAAGGAATAAAATATAAGTATATAGAATGCAAATGATAAATAAAAATATATTTTTCGATTTTTTGATAATAATAATAATAATAATAAAAATAATAAATAAAAATAAAATAAAATATAAAAAATAAAAGTCAGGGGGGGTGGAAATGACTTGGATGGTTTAAAACTAAAAACAGTTTTTAGTCTGGCCCATTAATGAGTTTTGTTTGGAAATTAGAAAAAGAAAAAAAGAATAAAAATAATGGGCTGTGTTGTGCAGTAAAGTGGGGGTGTTGTGCAGTAAAGTGAAGCAGGCCCATCAAAGGAGGCCCAGGCGCACTGGCTTGTTCAAACAAAGAAAAGATGAAAAATGTGAGGAAAAAAAGTGGCGCGCTGCCTTACCACTGGGGTGACTATACATCAGTGTATTAAACTGAAACCATGTTATTATATTACAAAATAAATTCTAGGCCTTCACTTTATCTTCTTCCCTGCGCGCGTTTACAATGAGAACAACAACATTTTTGAATTTGTGAACTTGTTCATTTCTCAACCACTCTCAAAACTTCAAACATCAAACTTGTTAGAAATTTCACCATGATTTCAAATATGTAAATAACTTAAGCAATAGATCAAAGATGAACACGAATTTTAAATGGTACCAAATCTGACCTAATTTTTTCAGATATTCAAACTTAAAATTCTCTAAGCTCAGGCAAAATAAATGAAAATTATGGATATGTACAACTTCAGGGCAATGATATCTATATTTTGTCTTTGAAAATGCAAGCCTAACAATGCCTAAATGAAGAGATGGAAGTTCAGAAAAATACCTCAAAAACTAGAAATCGTGAAATGAGTTTGAGCTTGTTTCAAGTGATGGTGATGATCAGGTTAGCTTCCTCAAGTTCCCAGGAAGCTAATGCAATGCTTAGCTTGAGCTATAGATGGCTGGAATGGTCTGGAGAAGTCAAGATGCTAACACTGTTTTTTGGTTATGGAGGAAGGTGATGGAGATGTTACAGTCGTGTAACAGGGTGTGAGATTGTTTGTAGATGATGCTTAGGAACTTTTGGAAGTGAAAGGCCAAGAAAAGCACGAGTGGATTAGGTGTTTGAGATTTCTGGCCAAAAATTGCAACAATGGATGTTGTTTATGTAATCCTGACTTTGAGAGGGTTTGAGGGCTTAAGCATCCGTGTGTTAGCTTGAAAATAGTGTATTTATTTATAGGCAAGAGGTTTTGTGTGTTACAACAAGTCAGAATTTGAAAAATTAAGTTGTAAAACTTTTACTTGTTTTTGAAGCAACCATGACAAACATCTTCCCAAAGCTTGTACCATGCTATTGTAGAGTGGTTGAACTTTAAACAAGCTTGCTTATGACTTATAGATGTTGTGTGTGCAAAATGAACAAGTGCAAAGCTCAAGACAAGTTGACTTTGCATAAAGCTTGCTTTTTCAAAATGGAAGTGGTGACTTTCTTTCTTAAATGGCAAGGTGTATTGGACAAAGCTTAAATCAAGTGATTCATAGCTCAAAAGCTTATGCAATCTTCTGATTAAGGATAGATACACAAGTTAGAGGGCCTGAAAAGCGGTATTATGCAGCATTGGTTGGAATTGGATCAAATGTTCATCATGAAAATGACTTGAAAAACAAGTTTGAAACCCTAACTTCTTGCCTTCGATTCTCTTAGCTCAAGTATTATCTCAATGAGTTCTTGGACATTTTGGAAATCTTGTAACATCCCCTACAACCTTCATATTGGACATTTTTGAATATTCAATTTAGAACTAGGTGAAAAGTTACCATGAAGTTAGGTCAAAATCCTGACTAACTAGGGCAAAATTTCACTAAGTCTTTTTAGTTTCATGGACATGTCTTCATAAATTCATAACTTGAAATCCAAGCATTTATAGAAAAAGTTCTTACCTATAATTTTTTAGATATCATTGAGATCTACAACTTTCATGTTGGAAGTTTTCCTTGAATCATCTTGCATCATGGTGGAACTTTAGCACAAAGTTATGAAAAAATGTTAACTTTCTAACACTTAGAAAAATTCTAAGTCCTAGAATTTTGAATTTTCAAAGATGATTTTGAATTTTTGATTTCTTGATGAAAAAGTTTCATATTTTGACATATCTTGATGAAATATGATTTTTGAAACTTGATTTTGATCAAAAAGTCAAAGTTTGACTTTTCAGTATACAGTTGACTTTTCATCAGTTGACTGAAATTCATCTATCAACCCAATGATCTTGAGAGGTTATTTGAACTATGCAATTAGGTCAAGATATTACATTTGAATCATTGAGATCATGTCTTAAACCAATAAGTCATTTTCTTGGTCAAAAGTCAAGAACTGAGCCTTCTCAATCAAAACCCTAGATTTGACCATTTTGCCCTTTTGGTGTTCTGAACAAATTTATTTGAGAAATTGTGATCCAACTTGATCAATTGATATATATGAGTTCATAATGTTGATATGGATAAAAAATTATGAATTTTGACTGCAAATTGACCACATTTGACTTTTCCCTAATATAGTTGATTTTAGGTCAACTGATCAACTTGACTGAGCAAAAATGTGATCCAAAGCTTGAAATTTGACATGAGCAATCTTGGGGATCCAAAATGATCCATGAAATTCGTATAAGACATTAGAAGTTCAATTATATTTGTACAAACTCAAACCCTAATTTTGAGTTGTCAGTGTTGATGAGGTGTCTTGAGCTGATCAAACCTTGTGTAGTCTTGAATCAATGGAGATTTTATGAGATATTTCTTGAGAAATGAGAGGGCAAATTTTGGGGTACAACAATGGAGAAGCAAAAGTTTCCCCCAGACGACGCCATTGATCTTACCGGGATCAGAAGGATCTTCAGTGGCCTGCAACACTTAAACTTTTGCGGTTATTGAATTGAATGAGGGGTGTACCTGCAAGGTACTCCGATGCCAAAGTAAGGTTCAGAGTATAGAAGGCAAGTACAAAGTGTAAGTGAGTAGAATTGAATACCTAACCCTCTAGTGAAAGGGGGTATTTATAGCCCCCTAGCGCTGGGCCAAGGTCCCCATTTTGGGCTGGATACCCAGCCCAAAATGGAGACTGCCAGGATCCTACGTGAGGAGAGGAGACCAGTACATGGTCTTTATCCTGGTGCCATGTGATCTTCGGAGGTAGAAGACTCGTTCTTTACGGAGGCAGGATGACTCTGTGATGTTCGGAGAGTCGTTGGCCACATATCCTAGACGTGATGGGGAAGACTTCCTCGACGAGGACGTGATGGAGTCCTTCCCCAGCGTTTACAACTATCTGGGCCACTTTGTTAGGCCTTCCTCGCAACAGCGTTGGGCTGGCCTGCCTGACGGAGGACCAAGTGCAGGTCCAGTCTACAATAGTTTGTTTGACCTTCATCGCTATAGAGTTAGGTTGGACCTTGCTAGACAACCTATCAAGCGCAAACCCAATCCAGAACATAAATATTCTACAACATTTTAATGGAAAATATATAACAGTTTCTTATTCAAATAACTTTCTTAGTTAACTTCATTTATGTTTTCATATAAGCTAAACGGAGCCTTCATCTTGACCAATGTCCTCATATTTATGATGATTGTCCGGAAGTTTTATTTAATCGATTTGTTAAGGACTAGTCTGAAATTGTTATCCAACGTGTTATCTGTTGTAATCTGTATTTTCTTTGGACTTAGGCTCTCTATTTTATCAAACAAAAAAAAACTCTCTTATCACCTTCTTTATTGGTTATATAGTATTCTATTTATTTGAAATATAATCCCATATTTAAAAATTAAAAAAAAGGGAAATCAATATAATTAAATGTGAAATCTATATAGTAAACTCTATTTGTTTATTTTACATGCCACTGATATTACTTTAACCATTTTAAGGATGGAATAGTTCCATTCCATCAAATCTTTCTGTTTTTTATTATTTGTTTTTATAATATTCAATATTTAAAAAAGTTTCATGTCATTTGGAAACAGAAACAAAAATATAATTGGTTGAGAGTTTAAAATCTAATCTTAATGTGCCACATGACCCTTATATTGCTAACTAAACCGTTTCTTAGATAGAACCAACATAGTTATAAATAGAGTTCCTTAGTTTCATTCCATCAAATAAAATATAAAATTTGGTGCATTGCTCTACCAAGAATCATGAAGTGCAGATATTTTACAAAGGAGGAAAGTCATCTCATTGATACGATGATAACTTGTGATGATGATGCTACTATTGAGGAGAGTGATTCAATTGTTACTAGTGATGTTGAAGAAGCTACTAAAGAAACAAAAGCTGATGCAAGATTCTTGTTTTTTCTTGAGAAAGATGATTCATTTCTTTCTCCATGGAGTTGGAACCCTAATAATGCTTTCAACAATGATAATGTTTCTACCAAAGAAAATAAATACTTTTCTTTTCATCCGGAATCATACTTCACTTATAGGTAAAAAAAATTCATTGTTTAAAATTCTTAAATGATTAATTATCCTTTTAATTATTGTTATATAAATTAAATGCCCTACCTTCATGATTTGAATTCACCCCGTATTAATCTTTGTTTATAATATCGATTTGAATCATATTTAAAATATGTTCTTTGATTGTTGTTTACAGATTATTGATCAAAAGATTCAAAATGAAAATGCTCAAGGAAATCATAAATTGTACTCCAGGTAAAAATATTAAGGATGATTAACCTAATTTTTATGATTATTATTTTTTATATCACATTTAATAAGTCAATTATTTTTAATTCAATGAGTTAAAATCTTTTGATTCATGTAGTTCTAATTAAATTTTTCTTTTATTTATTTATTTCCAGATCATGCTCAAAAGATTTGTATCCAGCTCCACTCATGTGTATCCATTAATTGCGTATGCGCTATAAGAAAGCACAATTACAGATGGACCATAGGCTAAACATCTCAACCTTTCTGTTACTGAAGCAGGATCTGAACGATACTTTGAATAAATATGATCTCTAAACCACGGTATGAAACTTCGATTGTGCTCTCGTACTATCCAGTTCTCATTTCTATTTGGATTTAAATCTCGGAGAACAACTTTGTACATTTCAACAAACGGCTCAACCTCAATCTCATTGTGCAGAACATACAAGTGCACTTGATCCCGTTCGACCATTGATACTGTCACAACTTTATTTCCAATTAGCCTTTTTCCTTCTTTTTTTTCGACAATATGAGATTTGGGGAGTCCAATTGATTGAACATTTGACAGATATTCAGTACAAAACTCAACCGCTTCTTCAGCAACGTATCGCTCGGCAATACAACCCTCTGGTCGACTTCTGTTTTTCACGTACCCTTTTAATATTTTCATATAACGTTCAGCAGGGTACATCCATCTCATATAAGCTGGTCCGCACAGTTGTGTCTCTTTCACAAGATGAACGACTAGATGAACCATTATGTCAAAAAACGAGGGAGGAAAATACATTTCAAGATCACATAAAGTAACAACTATCTCATTTTGCAATGTTGGTAAGATCGCGGGATCGACCACCTTACTGCAAATAGACCTGAAGAAGAAACACAGCTTAGTTATTGCGCTTCTTACTTTTTCTGGCAGAATAGAACGTATACCTATTGGTAAAAAATGTTCCATTATAACATGGCAACCATGCGTCTTCAAACTCTTTAACTTGAGGTCTTTCATGGACACAAGTCTTCTAATATCTGAAGAGTAGCCTTCTGGAACTTTTACTTCACTGAGGAACTTACACAATGTTTTCTTCTCCTTTCTAGATAGAGTGTAAACAGCAGGTGGCAGATATGTTCGTCTTCCTTTCGTCACGGGCCCCAATTCAGTTCTCATCCCCATGTTTACCATGTCATTCCTTATGTTAACGCCATCCTTAGACTTTCCTTGTATATTGAGTAGCGTACCTATAACGCTGTCAAATACATTTTTTTCAATATGCATAACATCCAGGAAATGTCTTACGTACAACGACTTCCAATATGGAAGTTCAAAGAAAATTGACTTCTTCTTCCACCCACCCTTGACAATTGAATGTGCAAAAGGCTTGCCAAACTGAGTGCTCACATCTTTCACCTTTTCAAAAATTTGATCACCTGACAAAAAAGGCGGGGCTGTACGATGTTCGGCCTCTCCATTGAATGCTTTTCTCCACCCACGGTAGTGATGATTAGAATTTAAGAATCTACGATGGCCGAGAAAGACATTCTTCTGACAAAGCGCCAATCGTGTCGTATCGGTTTCATCTTCACAAACAGGACACGCCTTTTGACCCTTGTTGCTGTACCCGGATAGATTTCCGTATGCTGGAAAATCATTAATTGTTCCAAACAACATCGCCCTCAAGTTGAAACTTTCTTTCCTATACCCATCGTAAACCTCCACACCTCTCTCCCACAAAAACTTTAAATCTTCGATTAAGGGTGCCAAGTATACGTCTATGTCATTCCCTGGTTGTTTAGGCCCATAAATTAGCATAGATAACATCATGTACTTACGCTTCATACATAGCCACGGAGGTAAGTTATAAATCATAAGAATCACAGGCCATGTGCTATGCGAGATACTTTGAATACCATGCGGGTTCATTCCATCAGTAGACAATGACAACCGAAGGTTTCTTGCTTCTTTTCCAAATTCAGGATATTCAGTATCAACTTTACTCCATTGTGGTGAGTCTGCCGGATGTCGCAACTTTCCATCAATAATTCTTTCATCTGCATGCCAAGTCAAGTGTCTTGAATCGGTCTCACTACGATACATGCGTCTAAATCTCGGAATTATAGGAAAATACCATAAGACTTTAGCAGGAGACAACTTTTTCTTATATCGAGGGGCACCACATTTAGGACACTCATTCAACGCTGCATACTCGTTTCGAAACAAAACGCAATCGTTTGGACATGCATGTATCTTATCATAGCTCATTCCAATAGAAGACAACATCTTTTTGGCTTCATACGTTCGATTGGGAAGAACATTATCCTCTGGTAGCATATCTTTCATAAGGGCTAATAACTCTGTGAAACTTTTATCCGACCATCCATTGTCCGCCTTTAAGTTGTACAACTTTAACACCGCAGACAATCTTGTGAATTTTGAACAACCAACATACAACGGTTTCTCTGCATCGCTTACCAACCTCTCAAACATTTTGGGACAATCCGCAAGATCTTCTTCAAGCGCTTCTGCAATCTCTTCGACTCGATCACAATCGTATGTGTCTGTGCAATCGTCGTTTGAAGCATACTTCCTATTACAACTCGACTCAGCATTCCCGGTACTTTTCTCACCATGCATTGTCCAACATGTATAACTTCTATCAATTCCAAACCGTAGTAAATGAGATCCCAACTGATTCCCGTCAACCTTACCCCCGGCATAACAGCAACCCAAGCAAGGACACGGCATTCGAAGCGGGTCTTTGGAGTGCGCAACCGCAAACTCAACAAATTCCCATACCCCTTTCTCGTACTCTTTCGACAATCGGTTTGAATTCATCCATGTCTTATCCATGTCTTAATTAAGCTAAACAAAAACGGTCAAACTTTCACTCTTCACAAGTAACCCCTATGGCGAATTCAATTCACAAAGTTAGTAAGTACCTCACTTAACGATAAACGAAATTGACATCATGAATATTCCACATGCATGTCGAAATAATGAGTATTACTTAATATAATCTAAAAGTAAAATATTATAATTTAATTACATTACTTTTCTTTCTTAATAATAAATAGATAAATATATGAAATTAAAATTGTAAGAAATCTCTTTTAAATAAAAAGATGTTTTAAGTTTGAACTTAATTTTTGATAGTCTTGTTTAAAATTTTTTGTATGTGTAGTAGATGTGTCAACAAATATCAAAATACAATGACTAAAATTATGAGTCCACGAGGAAAGATGATAATACAATTTATATGTAATAATTACTATTCTAAGCAAACAAGAGCTTTGTTTGAAAAATGTTTTGAACATAAAAAAATATAAAGTAAAAATAACAATGATAGAAAGTTTTTGGGGGGTTAGGATGTAATTAGTGATTACTATGATTACAGTTATATCAATATCAATTATACACATTTTATCCCTTAATCCATATTTTCACTTCACTATACAAACTCAGCATTTAATTTCAGCAGATTCACACTCTTAACTATACAAACTCAGCATCTAAGCTTACTACTACTAAGCCATATGCTGGATGTTAAACAATATCTAAAGAGCAATATTAGAGACATTGATTGATCTATCTATTTCAAGCATATTGAAAAGAAATTCAAAAAAAGATATATAATATAATGATATTCACCAAAAAAGCTACACTGTAAGGCATAATAATAAAATAATGAAAATCACCTTAGACGAAGATGTGAGTAGATTCAATTCAAATAGCAAAACAGCAAAAAGCAGCAGCAAAGATGGAAGACGATTGAGAAGCAATACCAAAACTTTATTCTCAAAACCACGCAAGCTCTAACCCTCCACCCAGGGCAAGACCATCAATAGCAGCAACTGAAGGTTTCCTTCCCCCTGAAAGATGAAATGAAATTCAAAATCAAAATAGAATACATCGACAAATGAGTTGCAAAGAAAACTTCAAAAGAAACCGTACCTTCTATAGTGTCAGTAAGAAGGTCTACTGATATCAAACCAGGACTTGTCTTCTCTGTATATGGCAATGAAGAATTAGAAAATGAGTGCAAATACATTTACTAAAACAGAAAACCTTAAAAAAAAAATATAAGAAAAATTACCTGCTAATCCCTCCGGTCTTTGAAGTAAAAGCAATACCAAAACTTTATTCTCAAAACCACGCAAGCAAAGAGTTGAAGACAAGATGCAAGCAAAGATGGAAGACGATGAGCAGTGCCGTTGAGAAGAAGACGATGAGAACAAGCAAAGATTGAAACGATTGAGAACGGAGAGAAGACGATGAGAAGACAATCGAAGAAGACGATTGAGAACGAAGAACGATTGAAACGATGTGAGTTTTCAACGATTAGGGATTTGGAAACGATTTTGTGAGTTTTCTGAGAATGCAAGATTTTGTGCGTTTTCAGCAGAAATTAGGGATTTGGAAACGAAGAACGCGTTTAGTATAATTTTGTTTTAAAAATTTTTAATTGTAAAGAGGGTATGACAGCGCTTTTGAAAAGCGCTTTCGTAACTAAGGCTATACCAGCGCTTTTGAGGATAAAAGCGCTCTTGTACCCCACCCCCTATATCAGCGCTTTTGAAAGCGCTTTCATAAGCCCCCTATAAGAGCGCTTTCAGAAAGCGCTTTCATACCCCCCCACTATAAGAGCGCTTTTCAAAAGCGCCTTCGTACCCCAGCCTCTAAGAGCGCTTTCTGAAAGCGCTTTTGTAACCCCCCCCCCCCCCCCCTTTAAGAGCGCTTTTTTAGCGTGTTTTTTTATTTTGTTTTTAGCGCAACCTATACCAGCGCTTTTTACAAAAAGCGCTTTAGTAGGGGTGCTGCTAAAAGACAAATTTGGTGTAGTGCCAGTATCTTATTATTATAAAAACAGGAAGTGTACTAAATCAAAGAAGCATGGTGATGCCATTGTCAAAGATCCAGAGTTCATTCGAGTGTGATTGATTAGCAAAAGAAGAATAGTGTTCTAGGATTTAATTTTGGAGAATCTGATTATAAAGTCATTTAAAAAAGAATTGTATTTTTTTTAGAACAGAT